GCTCTATTGCTTACCTTCTTTGCCACCTATCTCTCTGTTTGCCAATCCCTTTTGCATTTACAATATGTTTCAATACAACCTTGCATTTAGTAAACCAACAGTTTTGATAGCTTTTAGTAAATCTAATGGTCTAACTTAAGCTAACAAAACACCTGATAACAGACCACAGAGATTAATTACAGTGTGGCATGCCCTTGCTTAGAGGAAATGAAAGTATGCTTACTGTGCAGTTTCTGAAATTATGATTTTAAACAATGCAGTAGAGCACATTGATACTGCATTTTAAGGATTTAGGACTCTATTCATATGTCTTCATTTTGGCATCAACTCTGAACTGCCAAAAAACCATGGGTCTTTGAGTCCTTGAAATCAAAGAAGTCCTTTATGTCTTTAATAAGATACAAAGTGTCTGAAAAATGGTACCTACAGACATCTATGACTCTTACTTGACTATGGAAGCCTAATCACCAAGTTCAGATGTGAACAGTTACCATCAAATCACATTCCTGATGCTGAGTGCTTCCATGACTTAGTTGCTACTGCAAAATCATGATCTCTGAGAAGTGCATATTTAATATCTGCTGGCAGCCTAATGTAAGTGAAATTCAGCTTGCTAACTGGAAGTCTAAATTTTTACGGAATAGGGATGAAACTATTGAAAGAAATGTCTCAAAAAATTTTAACATAACATGAATGTGCTGTTATTTGCATGACAGTATTATGTTTTTATTGTATACACTACATGCTGGGGGCTTTTCATACAGTTGCAGAGGTTTTTGGGAGGGTTTTTTTTTTTTTTTTTTATTTTTTTAATAAAAGTGTTACTTCTGTAGTAGAAGCAAAATCCTCAAAAATCCTCAATTCTCTCCTTATGCAAACTGCATTTAGTTTTGACCATGAGATCCTAGGCTGTTTGAAGCAGTCTCACCTCCTCTCTGTTTATAAGAAGTGAATCACATTTTTGGTTGTACTATGTCCTGAACAATGATAGCTCAAAATTGTGAGCCACTGATTAACTGAAAAAAAGGAAAACAGTATTTTTAACTTCTAAATTCTGTTCTCCAATAGGCTGTGCAGAGCAATGTTATAAGGAAGGTCTGTATGGACTAAGACACTAATTCAGTGTAAACAATCTATCATTTTCCGGATTTAAACACTAGCTCACTCACTGTTTATATGGAGCAATCTTGACATACAAATGGAACACTTTAGTCTGAGAAAAGGAACTTACATATTTTTGACCTTCAGCCCATAGTTCAAGATTTTTTAAAGAAAAAGCTATCACTGAAAAAGTCTGTGATTTTGATATTTATACTGTTTGAGGGGGCTGTGTACTTGTTTTGTTTGTCACACAACATTGTCATTTTATTTAAGCCAAAACCATTAGAAATATTTCAAAGGGTCTGTCAAAAAAATTTACTGTTTAAAAGTGTACAGTTGAATGGCTGAATGGTCAAACAAATGCTCAGAAACTACTTAAAAATTAAGTACAAATCTAAACCATTACAGTAGGAGTTCTCAGTACAATTCTATTGCTATTCTTGTTGACATTTTATACAAGAATTGCGCTGAAAAGCAAGACAGATGAGAAATTTTGTTCAGTGCAGCTTTTACTTATCCACAGTGCTTGAACAGAGCAAGAAAATAGACACAACTTATTTGAGCTCTTAGATACATTTTCACATTCTCACAGAATTTTAAAAAATGCAAGTGTATCAAACAAACTTTCCAATGTTTTATTTTTGGTTTCAAAATAGGTCTGTACATAAGTACTTTCAAACAGTTTGCTCTTTGAAAATTTTATATTCAGTATAATTAATATAAAAAACCGTAATTTTTAGGTCTGAATTAAAAATATCAGTTTCAATTTTAATGTCTTGCAAATGAAAACTAGCTATAGATAGACCATATGAAATCAGTTTTTCTTTAATGTTGATTGACATACAAATAAAGTGAATAAATGAAAATTAAGAAATTACAACAGTAGAGTTCTAAAAAAATTAAGAGGACATATTTTGAAATGTTCTTATTGAACTTCCAAATGATATGAAAATATCTAAGAGCAAAAGAAACTAATCACAGAACTCCTTGGGTTGGAAGGGACCTTAAAGACCACCTAATTCCAAATCTCCTCTCAGGGGAAGGGACACCATTCACTAGATCACATTGCTCAATGCACTTCCAGATATGGGCATGAGGGTTATGGACAGAATAATGTAAAGAAAATAGCACAAGCTTCCAGTGAAAGTTCATAGAAATCATGTGAAGCTAGTATAAATTAATGCCCACTCACTTAGGTCCAATGAATTTCTTAAGGATAAAGAACCCCAAATATTTTCCTTAAGCAATGACAACTCAGAACAATTACTGTTACCATTAAAGATTTGAGTAAATTTGTCAGGTCATAAAAATGAAATTAGGAAGCACAGCGGAAAACATGGACAATATTTAACTGCCAACATTTAGAAAAATAATGCAAATAGTAAATATTTATATTTCTGGTAAATATGTATGTCTTTACAGTCTCATGGCCTTGTTGGTGTAGAATTTTAATGGACGAGTCATGAGCATCAGTGAGTGGAAACTGCTCAATGCTGCTTTCCTTTCAGGACCCTCTATTCAGGCCATCGATGGCTCTTTACCTCTCCTAGTCCAGAAACAGTAGGAAGGGGGGAAGTCACTGTAAGGAAACATGTCTTTGGAGCACACTTTTATAAAGATGCAGGCCATGAATGCTGTGTGCATATGGGGAAATGGAAATGAGAAAGCCAGGCAGTGGCAATAAAAAGGCATGGCAACCAGCTGACTAAACCTGCAACATCAGGGGAAAACTGAAACGAGCATGGAGATTAACTTCTCTTGCCTCCGAGAAAAGGCAGGTTTGGGATAAGAGAGACATTTCATAGTATGTAAAACAGAAACTCATTAGTCACTGAAGCACTTCAAATTATTTTAATGTCATGTCCTTACAGAACTGGATAGAGCCCCTTAAATAGTTTTTTTAACGCTTTTTCTGCTGATAGGTGAAAACATTTCCAACTCCTGGTACTTGCTGGCCAAATAGTTCTTTCCCATGCAACATCAACACAGTGAAACACTGCTGTGCAAGAAATACTCCTATACTCAACAAGTGTACTTGAAAGTACATCATTCTGTTGAACCTCCTAAATGTGTATAGAGGTGCTCACAATAACATCTGAGTTTTAAAATGGCACTTATTATCACATTGCCACAATTCTTTTGAATAACAAAGAAATAAATATTTTCTTCTCTTGTCTACTCTTAAAGGAATATAAAAGCAGAGTCCCAAAGCAGTCTATAAGCCAGTAGTGTTTTGACAAGAATAATGCAGAAAGTACACACCACACTGAATAAGGTTTGTGTGAAGCCACTGCTTCTATAAACTTGCCTTATATGATTTAATAAAACTAAAATAATTTCCAACAGTTAAGTTTCTCTTCCCGAGAAGCTGTCCTTTTCAGTTTGAAGATGTTTGGAAAGTAAAACAACAAAAGCAACTATTTTGTGATCACAGTTTTTTTGGACAGAAAATTGCTTCCTTTCAGAAAAGCATGTTACACCTACAGGGCATAACCAAGCATTTAACAGCACACTTTGTTTATCAAAAAATATACTGATTCTACTTAAAGTCAGGAGGACTACTCCTACACCAATTTATCTTCTGTATCTTTCACCTCAGGTTTCCTTCCTGAGATTTCTATATAATGAAAAGTATACGAAAGGTTTCATTGGTCTTGAGATTTTTTTTTTTTTTCCTCACATTAGTAGCTGTCTTATTAAGCTGAGCGGGTTCTGCCACAAAACCAGCATTTTACACAAAATGCCAGCAATTAGCTGGTGACAGCTTCTTGGTCAGAAGTAACCTGGGCTGAATTGCAACCTGCTATATGTAGGCTAGCCAGCCAGTCCTTTTTAAATGTCCTCTCATTTCCCTGACAAAGAAATTAAAATTTAGAAGCAATGAATACCGCATTTTTCAAATCTTCAGACGAAGACTTTGTGCTTCTTAGTGTAAAGGGCGCTTTGACGTCATGTGATGTCACGCAAAGTACTTTACAATGCTTTGGTTTCTTTGCTACTGTGAAATGGATCTTTTATCAGGAGGGGTTTTGGAACAGAGCTTAATCACGAAAAACTACATTGAACGTCTGGAGGGGACAGTGAAAAACAGACAAAAGGGAGCCGCCACTGCAAATAAACAAAGCTTGTCTTTTTCTCTGCTCTCCAAAGCAGCGACCTAACCAGAGGCTGGTCCCCTCTGCTCAGCGCAGAGCCGCACTTCTTGGGATGGTGAAGCGAGAGGACAGAGCAGCGGCACAAGAGGTGGGGGAAAGGCATGAGAAGACAAGATGATCAGGAGAAGCCAAAAAACGCTGAACTAAGGCACAGGGCGCCGGACGCGATGGGAAAGGGATGCGGGTACGGCGAGCGATGGGAGGGGGACAGGCGGAGCGGAGGAGGAGCCGATGGAAGTGCCGCTGGAGCAGCAGCGGTTTCCAGAGGCAGCGCGGAGCGCTGGGACCGGGGGGCGGGAGCCCGCGCCTCGCAGCGCAGACCCTCGGTAAGGGACGGGGCTGCAGGCGAGGAGGGGCGGGGAGGGAGACACGGGCGAGGGGGCGTGGAGCCCGCGGCCAGCCCGCCCGGGCGGTGGGAAACAGTCGGGGGACGAGCGGAGCGCGGAGTCAGCCTGTCCGCCTCCGCCGGAGCCTGGCAGGCACCCTCCTTTCCTGCACGCCTCCCGCACACGCTCCCATCGTTTCCCCTCTCCAGGCTGCACCGCCCCCGTCCCGGCGGCGGGGGCCCGGGCAGAGCCGTCCCCCCGAGAGCGGCACCATGTGAGCAGGAGCCGCGCCGCCGCCGCAGCGGGCACGTCTAGGATGTGAAGAGCCGTCCGGCTGCTCGCACCCCGTCGCTGCCCGGCTGCCCGCGCTCCGTCGCTGCCGGAGATTCGCCGGCGTCCATCGCTGCCCCGGGCCAGCATGACCGAGGTGAAAGCCAAGGAGCCCAGAGCGCCTCCGCCTGCCACAGACGGGGCGGTCCTGCTGCAGGGTCAGCCCGGCCGAGATCCCTTCCGCGAGGAAGAAGAGTCAATCGACATCTCCCTGGACGGGCTGCTTTACCCCAAGAGCAGCGACGAGGAGGAGGACGAAGAGGAGGAGGAGGAAGGGGAGGAGGAGGAGGAAGAGCCGCAGCAGCAGCATCTGGGGCGGGAGGACGGCCGGGACTCTCTCTGCTACCAGCCAGGAAGCGGCTCCCTCTCGGTCAAGGACTGCCTGGACACCGTCCTGGACACCTTCCTGGCGCCCGCGGCTCATGCCAGCTCCACCGTGGCCGCGGCGCCCTGGTCTTTTTTCGAGGCGGAGGAGGCGCCCGACGGCCCGATGAGCAGCGGCCCGTCGCAGAAGGCGGCCGAAGCCGCCCCGGGGGATCCGAGCCCCTCGCAGCCCCCGCCGCGGCCCGCAGCGCTCTGGCCGCCCGGCGACGCCCTGGTCCCCGCCGCTAAACCGCGGCCGGCGGGGCCGGGGACCGGCGCGGAGGGTCCCGGCGCGGCGCCCAAGGGCGATGCCCCCGGCGTCGGGGCGCTGCCTGGCGGGTCCCGGGCAGGGGACCCGGGGCAGGAATACCTGCACGTGCCGCTGCTGCCGCTCAACTCGGCCTTCCTGGCCTCGCGCACGCGGCAGCTGCTGGACGGGGCGGAGTACGAGGGCGGCGCGGCGCCGCGCTGCTCGCCCCCCGCCCCGGACCTGCCGCCCTACGGCTTCCCGCCGCCCGACGCCAAGGACGGGCCCTTCGCCTACGGCGACATCCAGCCCGTCATGAAGATCAAGGAGGAGGGTCTCGGCCTCGCCGCCCGCTACCCGGGCGGCAGGGCCACCCCTGCGGCGGGCTGCCACGACTACCCGCAGGCTCCGCGGGCCGGGCAGGAGCCCTCGCTGGAGTGCGTCCTCTACAAGGCGGAGCCCACCCTGCTGGCCGGCGCCTACGGGCCGGCGGCGCCGCCCGACAGCCTGCCCTCCACCTCGGCCGCGCCGCCGGGGCTCTACCCGGCCCTGGCGCTGAACGGGCACCAGCCGCTGGGCTTCCCGGCCGCCGTGCTCAAGGAGGGCCTGCCCCAGCTCTGCCCGCCCTACCTCGGCTACGCGCGGTAAGGCGGGGGCGGCGGGGCGCTCGCTGAGGGACGGGACCGGGGGCGCCGCACTGCGCGGCCGGAGAGCTGCGCGCCTCCTCCTGCTCCGGAGGGACGGGTGGGCGTGCCGCATCGCGGGGATGTTAAGGGGGTGCTGAGGAAGGGACAAGTTTCTCTCGTCGAGGGCCTGTTTGGGCTTTCAGGTAGCGCTCGCAGCCCCGTCCTCACTCCGTGCGCTGCCTGAGCACGCCGCGGTGTACCTGGCTTTGGGCGCAGTACCGCCCCGGGATGTTGGAGTGCTACCGCAGCGGGACTTCAGCGCCGCCCGATCCGGAGACAGTGCCCGGCCCCGGCGACGGCGTGCGCCTCTTCTAACTTGTCCTCGCTTTCAGCGTTACCGTATTCATCAGTTCCTAAATATTTTCCAAAATAGTGTTCCCCATTTGAAAAATAACAACCCCCCCGCAAAAAAAAAAAAAGCACAGCTTGAAGAGCGGTTTATGCAATGAAAGAAAAAAACAAAAAAAAAAAATTTTTACCCCCCCCCAAAAAAAAAAAAAAAAAAAACCAAAAAAACCAAACCAGACCCAAAACCCAAAAAACCCCAAAAAACTCAACACCACAAAAAGCAGTTGATTTCACACGAAAAAGGAAACGAAAACACTTGTATATTGAATTGCTTGAATGAAATGGTGTACTATCATGCGGAGATGTGCGTTACCTAGAAATAGATGCAACTAAAGGTGCGTGCAATGTTGCAGTTGCAGTGGATATCCTTTCTTTTAATAAATGCAGTGGTTACCTAGATTAGTCTGCCTTGGAGACTAATTGGAAATGTCACTGATATCCCCATCAGACTTAGTTACTGCTGAGAACGCTGCAGCTGAATGGGGGGTGAAAAACTGATTATTAAAGATTTTTTTAATTGAAATGAAATTTCATGTTTCCCATGTGAAAGAGGCCTTTGAAATTCAGTTGACATCTGTGTGATTCTGTCTCTGTACAGGAAAAATTAATCGTCACTATGACTCCACTCACAAGAGTTGTTGATTTGAGGAAGATGAACATTTTAACAGAGTGTCCTAGATGGTACCTTTTTTGCTAAATGTTTAAAATGCAACTTTCTGCTATTTTTTTATTTTTTTTTGCAATACTTTCCTGTATTGCCATAGTAGAGACAAACTATTAAGCAGAAAGGCTTTAGTTTTTTTCATGTCTATATCTTGACTACAAATTTTAAAATGAAGTTTTTAATATAAGACTCCTTAATACAGGTAAGTAGTTAACTGCACTGAGATCGATCTTTCATTTCTTTTAATTCTTTTTCTTCTCAAGGCCAGATACGGAAACCAGCCAAAGTTCTCAGTTCAGTTTTGAATCACTACCCCAGAAGATTTGTCTCATCTGCGGTGATGAGGCTTCAGGTTGCCACTATGGAGTACTTACCTGTGGAAGTTGTAAAGTCTTCTTTAAAAGGGCAATGGAAGGTACTATAAGATGCCATTGTTCCTAGTTATCTGAAATAAGTCTTCTAAACACTAGGGCATGCTGTTTATTTATTGCTCATTTTTATAAATATTGTCACTGCAGTGAATTTTTGTTTTAACAACTGTTTAAATATTACAGTGGATATTGACAAAGTTCTCCTTGTGTTTTTTTTTTTTCTATTATTATTTGTTTTACTTTACTTTTCTGTTATTTATTATTTACTGTTTATAAGTTAGTCTTTCCACATAGGCAGAGTTAAATAAAAAAATTTGTGCATTATACAACTTGTTTTGAAAAGTATAAATGGTGTTCAAAGGAAAATATTGTGGATATGAACTAATGATAAGCGGATAAGAATTTATTTTGACTTTGTTCTTTTTTGAAATCATGAAATTTTTCTTGTTTCAAGTTGCAAAGTTTTGGCTTCCTGGAAGTTATGGAAGTTTTTAAAATTTCACTGAACCTTTTCAAGTCATAGCAATAAATGTGTTTGACTTGTTCCCAATAGTCATTAAATTGCAAAGCCAAGCTTCGAGATTAATGAAATAGTAGCAATATCTATGTTTACTTTTTCATTTTGGATTCTATTATACACCTTGTCCACTGAGATTTTGAATACAAATACAAGAGCAAACTGTTTTATATGGTTCAACAGATAAAGCAGCAAAACAAATCCTTCTACTTTTTAGGCTTTGTCTCCTGTTTTGATTTTTATCTGATACTGCCAGAACTATGATATTCAAATTTCTGTTCCATGTATTCAACAAAACCATTGTTCTAATGGACAGGATTCCTTAAAACAAAAAACCTGCATCCTGTATTTTCTTGTTGTGATACATAGGTTTTTCCACTTTATAGAGTTTATATGAAAAGGGATATTTTGGAAAAGTAAAAGCTTAGCATAATAATATAATTAGATTTTTTGTTTCACTGTGCTGTTACTTTCTACTTTAAGCATATGCTCCTGTTCTTCCTTTAACATTAAAGCATGAGCATATGCATATGTTCTTCGTTTAACATTAAATATTTGCGAAGTGATATTGGTGGTCTAAGTGAACTTTTGAGCTAGTGCCACATTTATCCAATGCACTCAATGGATTTCATGAGAAAATTACTAGAAATATTTGTGTTAGGCTGCGAACCTCTTAAGTCACTTGCAGGAATACATTTAAGTTTCACTGTATCTGCTAGTTGGTCTCCTAGTTTGCCCTTACGTTTTTTTGGCTGGGTTTTTCTAATTCAGCCAGATATTCTTTTAAAAAATCAGAGAGCTGAAGTTTTAATTCTAAGCATAGTGTAATTTATGAGTACTGTATTTTAAAATAAATTTTATTTTCACTTTTTTACCTATATAATAATGTTGTAATATTTTCTTTGTAGTTTTTTCTGTCAATTTTAGATTTCTTCTTTTTTCTAATTTAGGACCCAGTTCTATTTGCAGTAGATGGACCTGCTCAAAAACATATTATATTACTATTCAGCAGAATTATTTTAATGAAAAATGTTATGAAGGAATAACTTGATACAAGGAACATCTTAAAGCTGTTTTCACAGTGTATATTTGCAGAGTCTTAACAGATTAACAATATAGAGTTATTTATATCCTTACCAGGTTATTTACAGACAAGAGGTCAATGCAGTTAGATAAACAAAAGTTTTAGGTTTTACATAGCATCTTCATAATTTTAATTTTTAAATGAATCCACTGACTGAGAGTCTGTTGAGGAAGTGTGTTTGGGTTTTCTAGTAAGGATTTTCAGAGAATGTTCAAGAATGTACATCAGAAACCTGACTGTAATCAGAAAAGATACAGGTTATTGAGTTTGATGGGAAGCAATGTCAGTGTAGGCATTGGCAAAAGGAACAAATACAGCTGTACATGTTTTTGTGTAAAAAGTGGAAGACTACAGGGCGTTCCTTAGAGATGGACTGATGGACTAATTATTTTCATTGCAGTATACTATATAATTATCAGCACTGAAATAATCCTATTTATTGATGGATATTTAATTTTCTGTGGACTTAAATCCTTCAAAAAATTCAATATCAGAAATAATGATGGGAAATTGCTCCTCTGTAAGAAGACACAGAGTATTTGTATTTTAAATGCAATAGAAAATAGTGTTTAAAATTCTTACTGGCAGTCGTATAAATTTGAAACATATTTCTTCCATGAAATGTCCCCCTACCCTTAATTTCTCTGAGCAGAAATTCCTTTTTTTTTTTTTAATTTTAGTGCTACTACAGATGTGGAATTTTTAATCATAATTTATGCAAATAAGATGTTAAATTTTGTGAGTAAAAATTCCTGGTGAAAACTCTACTTCATGTAATTTCCATACAGTAGTGTTCTTTATGAGAAATTAGAACATGATTTGAAATAGCTGGATTTTGCTATTTCATGGATTTTCTCTATCGTGAGAGGTTTTTTTGTATGTTATGAGGTTTTGTGCATAGGTAAAAAAGTACTTGATATAGGAGCTTTGCATTTGTTGGAAAAGGCTTATTTTCTATTTTAATTATTTGCGTAATCTGATATCATCTGAAATCAAACAGCCTATATATTTTTTATAATTTTTTTTTCACAGAAACTGCTCCATTCATACACTACTGATTTTACCTTCCCTGGTGTGAGAAGAATACTTTTTTGGTTAAATACATCCATTTGAATAAAATGAACTGCTCTGTTATCCAGAAAACTCCTTTTTTTTTTTCCATATCTAGTCTTTTTGAAATAAAAGTGGATTATTTAAATTGTTCAGACTGAACAATGATTTAAAACTGTATATACTAATTATGATTTAATAATACATTTGAATTTAACTAATGCATACACATGCAACTTAATGAGGGGTCAGGGTTATGTGAGAATCACAAAGATTACTTAGAATGTTTCTTGGCACTGAATTCTAAAATATATGTGCACTGTAGATACTTTCTGTCTTTTGGATTCTTGGTTCCCCATATGTGGCTATATATATGAAAAGGCTGGTGTTGATACAATAAACATATATTTCTCAAGGCAAAATCTTAAAGCAAGTTAAACAAAAATGCAAGTCCTTTCTTTTGGAACCTGTAGTATAGCAGATATGTAAAAAAGTACTGCAAGTGAGGAGGAGAAAGGGGACAAAGATACTGGGTTGGTTTTACTTAGGAAACATTGATCTGCATTTAGAGGTTGTACATTTTCTGTTGGACTCTTACAAATAACTGTTAGTCTGTAGATTCACTTAATGTACAAAGAAATGACAAGGCTTTTAAAAAATATTTCAAAGATCTCCATTGAGTATAATGAAAACAATGAAAGTTACAGCTATTTATATTCAGTAAAGAAATTTGAAGAGACATAATTGGATTCACTGTGCTCATGGGGTAGGGCTGTTCCTGTGTCATTGAGATGAGAGTGATGACCTTTTTGGAGATAAAAATCAAAAAAATTCAGAAATAATATTCAAAATGCTTTAAAATATGTATAATTACTATATTTGTAAGCTAATTTATTCTTGATGACCAGGTATTGTTTAACTGCTACCATATATCTCATTCATGGTAATAGAAAATAGAGGAGAATATTTCTAACATTAGGAGAATAAAGATTAAGAGACAAACTTTTACTTTCCAATTATTAAATTGCCAAAAAAGTCATTAGTGATGTCTTACAAAGATTCCATAATGTGAAATGATGTAGGGCAGCTATGATCAAAATGCTTATGGAATGCCACAATAAAATGTTTTTTTCTTGAGAGGAACCCAGTGTTCAAAGTTTTGGGATTCTGGTCCTGTTGCTAACACAGGGTTTCTTGGTAGCCTGCATTATTTCCTCCTTGTTGAAAGTGTCTCTTTTGCAGTAGTTTTACTAATGAAAATTTTGAATTATCTATATCCTGCAAAAAAAATTCAAGTGTTGTTTTTCCTATAATAAAGCCTCATTTTTTATTTCTATTCTCTATTTATATTTGCACTTTGCTTACATGGTTGATCTCTAAGGAAAAGTAGTTGTCCAAACCCAGCTTATGAGACCAACATGATTACATGATATTACAGCACATCAGTCAGAAAGTGACTCTTGGTTTGTTTAAATACCTGGGAACATGTTACAAACTGATCAAGTGATTGTAGAACATTTGTCTAGTTTTAATATGTGCTTCAAGGTCTGGGTAACTGACCTTAAACTCTGTTGCATCAATGGCATCAGGGAACAAGCTCATGCACATGTAGCAGATAACATTTAACTGACTACGTGTGAACTTTCCTTCCTTCTGAGATCTGAATTTGGTAAACTGACAGAAAGTAAGATTTCCATGAGAGTTTTCACTGTCTGTATGGTGAGGTTTTGTGGAGTATCTATCTGATGATGAGCTACACCTACACAGTAAGAGAGCTGATCACAACTTCAACCAAACTTTCTGATAAAGTTTATCTGACCTTATCAGTGTTATGATAAGCAGTTTTGTGATGGCAGTGTGATTCACTATGTGCATAATGCAATACTATGTATGAGGAAAAGTGTTTATCTAAACAGTTATGCTTTTCCCTAGCTTAAAGAATCTAAAATGGTATGGCGTGCCAAGTATTAAAAAAATGCCAACCACTAGTAGAAAATCCTCTTTGAGAAGAGAGGAATAATAGTGTAGACACCCTTTTAGCTGGAAACTTGATGAAACGGGTGTTGAAATTTCCTTTTTCTCCTAACTCTGAAGGGTTTTCTAATTCTTAATCAAACTGTTCAGTCAGGATCTTGGGATCAGAATTTGGTATGTACTATAAATCTGATGATGATGAAATGTTCATGAAGAGTAGAAAACATGCAAACACACAAAGCATACACATGGCAAGCTGAGAGGTAAAAATGCTTTTCACTCAATAAACAGATTTGATGTTATTGAAGTTCTTTTATTTTACACATGGCCAAAATGTGCTAAAGTACAGTAAGCTAGGTGTATTTTCAAATTCAATGTACAAAATTGCTTTGATGAGGAGCCTAAAATACAGATGGAAA